AACTGATGTGTCAAGCTCACGAAACACTTTCCTTTCTCCTGACATGTGGTTGCTCGCTCCAGTATCCAGGTACCAGGAATTTTCGGCTCCAACGTTTGCTGGTGGCGGCACTATGGTTTCATTCAGCATAACACCGTCTGGCTCCTTGTCACGTGTATTCATTATTTCACACGTTTCTATCATCAGCAATGAAGACTCCTCATCCTTCTGCTTCTCTGTCAGATTGAGTTTTTCATCTTTCGAAGAACATTCCGATGCAAAGTGTCCCATTTGTTGACAATTGTAGCATTTAATTTTACTTTTGTCAAACTTCTTTTTCTGGGTTTGTGACCCCCCTTCATCTCCACGATGTGAGTCACTTTGCCCACGACCTCTACCTCTTCCACGACTGCGTCCCCTGCCTCCTCTAGAACTGCCTTGATCCTTTCCTTCTTTCTTAAAGGATTTTGCATTCTCTCGTGCCTTCCATTGCCTTTCATTCTGCACGATGAGGTGTACGTTTCTTCTTTTTCAAACTTGCAAACCTTCTTCATGAGCTTGGTGATCCAATGATCTTCATCGACCTGACTTGTTTTGAGATCACTGAACTTGAGATCACTGAACTCCTCAATAGTTGAATTAATTTGAAGAAATTTTGCAGAGGTGGATCGTAAGAGTTTCTTTACTACCTGGATGTCATCCACAGTATTGCCGAGGCCTCTCAACTTGTTGACAATTATGGTGAGTTTCCCAGAGTACTCATCAATACTCTTTGAGTCTCCCATTTTCAATGCTTCAAACTCTCGCCAGAGTGTCTGCGTCCTCACTTCTTTCACCTTGTCTGCACCTAGATTCATGTTTTTCAACATGATCCAAGCTTCCTTGGCTGTTTTCCTAGCGCCCAATTGTAGCAGTGTGTCCTCTCCAATGCTTTGATAAATGGCTGCCAATGCCATCTTATCTTTGCGATTATCAACAGTTTCTAGTGACTCAATTGCCTCCCAAACACCTTGTGCCATCATGAATACCTCCATCTTAATTGCCCAAGCTGCATAATTACATCTCGTCAGCATTGGGTATTTGAGTGTAACGTTGAGTGTAACGAATCCCTCCTTCTCTTGAATTCGTACACCAACTTCATTCGAGATATCATCTCCAGTCGCACTTGTGTTTTGGCTTGTTTCACTCATTTCCTCTCTCTGTTTTTTGTTCTCTTTCTCTTCTTGACAGCTCAATTTCTAAATGAGATATTGTTAAAATCAGGCCTTGATCTTGAGGCTCTGATACCAAATGTAAACAACAGAGATAAAGAAGAAGCAAAGACACTCAGAATTAACAATCTTTTTGTGGTGTGTTACAGATAGTAACAAACACCGTTTTTCTTATATAATGAAAAATAACAAATCTCCTGCTACAATTCAGCAACACATTACTTCCACTAAGCCACTTCAACGCCACGTCCTAAAAACTAGTTCAAACACAAATTAACAAATAGCCCTCTCATCTCTTTGGAGAATTAAATACTTATTTTATGGAGAAATAAAACAAATAAAAACTTAAATGCTTACAGCTACAATTTCCAGCTGAAGCTTATGACAGCAAACTAAAAATAAAAAACAAGTTTAACAACTAACAAACTCTCACTCTACTACTATCTCCTTAGCCAAAAAGGCTGAAGATGAAGCCGACAAAGCCATCTCACTCGATCCCAAAGATGTCGCGGTTCATATACTGAAAGCTTTATCTATGGATCTACTACAGGGATTTAAGACCTTCGCGCTTGACTCGCTCGATGTGGCTCTATCGCCGCTCGCCTTGAAGTCGTTGACAGAGAGTGAGAAAGGAGACGCGTTGTTCAGGAGAGCTGAGTTGGTGGTGGGGACGAATCGGAGCGAGCAGTTTGACGCAGCGATTCAAATTTGACTCAGGCTGTGAAATTGAATAAGGAGAACGCAAATTTGTTTTCTTGACTTTGATTTGTTGGTGGTTTTTGGTGATTGATCAGTGGGTTTTGGACAAAGTTAACGGTGAATATTGGTAAAAAAAAAAGGGGTCGTTCTGATAGGTTAGGTTAAAGTTAGCCGACCTTGGTTACGAGGGATCCACTTTATTAATTTTTTATTACAAACCCCAGTTGAAATTGATTTAAGTTGATAATAATACAAACCTTTTAAATTAGGTGCCCAGGAGACTGATGTCAATTTAAAGTGATATCCTAACGAATCGTACAGGTCGGGATTTTTTTTATAGGTTAAGCCGAGCAAATAAAAGAAATTAAATAAAAAATCTTAGTTATTGTCTTTTTCTCCTTACTTACTCCGCGTCTCTTTCTCTTAATATCCAAATAAAAAAATAAAGCTAGTGATAAAGATGGATGTGTAGTGATAAAGATGGAGGTGTAGAAAGATTGTTTATATAGAATACTATATAATTATGAATAAAAATTCAAAATTATAAATATCCATATTTATTAACTATAAAATATATTTTTTCTAATGATTTAAAATATATAGATTAATAGATTAATTGCATGAATCATTATTATTACTAAATATTAATTATTTTTTAAATTAAAAAATTAAAGCATCCAATCAAAATATAAAAAATAAAAAGCTAAATAAAAGTAGCTTCAATTAATATAGATGAGATAACAATCATTAGAAGTGTAGTGTTATATAGAAAGTATAATTTGTAATTCAATTTAAAATTCAACTAACCGGGCTATATTTTAGGTAGAGTATATAATTTAAATAACTCAAACCCTATTTTATGGTAGATAATTATATATAGGTAAAATTCAGTAATTTAGATAATTGGATATAGATAATTTATAATAAAATATTAATCAAAATACTTAAGTTATCTAATCACGACACAGAAAAATAAAAAATTTCTAAAAAAAAAAAACACAATGTTAAACAAAGAAAGAAAGTTGAACTTCTTATTTATTTCAGCTTTTATATAGACTAGTTCTTTTTAGGATGTGCAATGCATATTGACTATACTTGTTATATGCTCAATTTTTATACTTGTTTAGCTTTTTTATTTATATAATTGAACTATAAATTCTTATTTAGATTGCAATAGATATAGTGGTTTTTATATATACAGTAAAATATTATTTTTAATTATATATTTTGCACTGTAATATCTCATTGAAAAAAATTAATATATTTGTTTCTCTCTTTAAAATAGCAATTCAAATATGAAATATGTCATTTATATTATCTTATATATTTGTTTCTCTCTTTAAAATAGCAATTCAAATATGAAATATGTCATTTATATTATCTTCAACATACCGATTCATATAGTTTTCATTATACGCTAGCTGCTTTTATTTTTTATTTAAGTACAAAATTGATTTATAAAAATCATTATATAGCTTTTATTTCACGTTTTATAATTAATCTACATATTTTGTTAATAAATTTCATTATAATCTATTTTAGTAAATAAATATACTTCAACAATAAAATAAGAAATTAATCTAATAAATCAAATTAAATATTTATAAATAATAACAAATTTTACTATTATAGTTTTAGCCAATCAAAATCACGAAATCATTTAAAAAATTTATTATTAAAATCGATTATTATTTAATCGTATGTCTTTGAATAACAAGACTAGAATTTGACTTAAAATAAGATATCATATAATTAATCAAATTCGAGATGTTTAGAAAATAATAATTTTTTTATCTTATTTTTAGCCAACCAAAGATTAGCAGTACCAATTTGTAGATTAAAGGAAAGATTTAACCTTACCTTTTAAATCAAAATCTTTAATATCTAGATTAATATTTATTTAAAAAATTTAAAAGCAAAAACTTCTCAAAACTGCCTCATTATTTTACACTACCTCACTTTAACATAATAGAATGTTGAAGAAACCATACCATTCAATAATAATTACAAAATAAAATCAATTACAATAATACTAATCACATTATTAAAAATTATTTAATTATATATTAATAATTTATACAATATATAATGAAAATAAACATAATTCTACATAGTACAGAATAATAGTAAAAATTTTATTTTCAGAAGGCTTAATTATCATATATGTATTTATCTATTAAAAATAAGTTAAAAAATCCCAATCAAATTATAGAGACTCTTTATTATATATTTATGTAAAAATTTTAAAAAAATCCAATCAAATTATAGAGATATTATATATAATTTTATGTTAAAAATTTTTTAATTGGCTATGACTAAGGTTATTTTAGAGTATTTTAAATTTTACACCTCCTCCCCAATTCTCACTTTTATATATAGTGTAGATAGATAGGTAGATATAATATAGATTATAAATTTATTTTATTATCTATTAAATTAAATAGGGCAAAATAATGCATATAATATATACTGAAAATATGTAATATGTATTTAGCTCTAACATTTATTTAAATCTAAATTGAATAAATTAAAAACATATATAGTAAATAAAAGGATACTTAATTTTCATGTATAGCCTTATAATGTAACGTTAAAATAATTACAAATAAAATATATTTATTAATTTATAGTTAGTGTTAATTATCTATTAAGCATAACATTTACAATAAAATTGCATCGGTATATAGTTGACGTTAATTATCTATTAAGCATAATATTTAAAATAAAATTTAATTGGTCATTAATAATGTTATTTTAAAATATTTTAAATTTCATTTAGGGCATTATCATAATATTATTTATCTATCAAACATAATATTTAAAATAAAATTTAATTGATCATTAATAAAATTATTTTAAAATATTTAAAATTTTATTAAGAGTATTATAGATATTTTCATTATTCTTCTCATCCTCACTTTTATATATACTATTCTCACTTTTATATATAGTATATAGATAGATCCATGGATTATTCATTTCCTAAGATTTTTGTTAAAACTGAAACTTACATTTGTTAAATTGCGCCATGTTAATAATGGGTTTAAAGAATATTAGATTTGTGTCTTGGACTTATTACAAGTCTCGGTGGCCTGGGCCCTAGTGCCGGTCAGCGCATGGATTTGGGTCGTGACACCTACGTTACCATTACAGAAACTTTTCTCTCTTTCTGTTTATCGTTTCCTGCTCTGAGTAGAGGGAAAGAGGAGAAGAAATAAAAGCGAAGAAAATGCCGGTGGCAAGACCGGAATCATACGATTCAAGAATTATCGCTCACATTGACATGGATTGTTTCTATGTTCAAGGTCTGTTGTACTCTTTTCCTCTCTGATTTTATCAATAGCTTCCTTATTATAGCCTAATTGTTTCGCAATTTTTCAAATGTAGTCGAGCAGCGAAAGCAGCCACAATTAAGGGGTTTGCCTACTGCTGTTGTGCAGTACAATGAGTGGAAAGGTGGAGCCTTGATCGCTGTTAGTTACGAAGCTCGAAAATTTGGAGTGAAACGGTATGTAGAAAGCTTCAGCCGATTCTTTCGGTTCTTTTTTGTTGATAACAATTTTTGTACAATTTAATTTTAGTTCTATGCGAGGTGACGAAGCAAAAGAAGTTTGCCCTCAGATTCAACTTGTACAAGTCCCTGTAGCTCGTGGTAAAGCTGATTTAAATGCTTACCGCAATGCAGGTTCTGAGGTATGTGGATTTTGCTATTTTGACTGTGTAAACATTGTAATTTGCGATTTTACATTGAAAATTCATCACTTTCATTGTTTTGATAATTACATTTGTAGGTGGTTTCTATTCTTGCAAGGAAGGGTGGATGTGAGAGAGCTTCTATTGATGAAGTTTATCTTGACCTTACTGATTCTACAGAAGCGATGCTGAAAGAACACCCTCCTGAGAGCTTGGAAATGATTCATGATGAAGCTCTCAAATCACATGTTTTAGGACTTAAGAATGAGGTATGGAACTATTTTTAATGTCATTTCTTGTAAAGAAGATTTTTTGGCAATTGAAATTGCGAAAGTATACTGGCTTCTTTCCTTACATGATCTACTTTGCAAACTTTTATTATCTGATTCTGTAATTCTTTGAAGACAAAAAACATTACACAACCCAGTTTTCAGCTTATTACTTTCCTTAGCTTCTCTATAAAGCAAACAAAGTGAAGAAGAGAAAGCTTTTGAGGTCTTAACTTACTGACCTTTTGTTTTGCTTTCTTCTTACAAATTCAAATGTAAAGTTATAATTTAGTGAATCGCAGGAACAGAATCCTTTTGTTAGAAAGTGATATCTAAGGGTTTTTATCAGCCTCATCATTGGTGGAGTTCTATTTTTTTTCCTCTCTCACATAATATTGTTACACTTGATTTTGCGGTGAATTCAGAATGGAATTGATGCCAAAGAAAATGTGAGGGAGTGGCTATGTCGGGATGATGCTGATCATCGTGACAAGTTATTAGCATGTGGAGCCCTCATAGTTGCAGAACTTAGAATGCAAGTTTTGAAGGAGACTGAATTTACATGTTCTGCTGGCATCGCTCATAATAAGGTAGGAAAGTTTGGTTTCTTCTCAAATAAGTTACATGTTCTGCTGGCATCGCTCATAATAAGGTAGGAAAGTTTGGTTTCTTCTCAAATAAGTTGGTTTCTTCTCAAATAAGTATGATCTTCTATAAGCTCATTTCTTATTTATTTATTAAATGACATGGTGCAAATGCTTGCAAATGGATTTCTTAATAGATGCTGGCCAAACTTGTAAGTGGTATGAATAAACCCGCTCAACAAACTGTTGTGCCCTTCTCATCTGTAAAAGAATTGCTTGATTCTTTACCAATCAAGAAAATGTAAGTTTGTTTACTCACAAATGCGGTATTGAATAGCTAAGAATGTTAAGTTTGGATACTGGGTGTGGCTAGAATCATTGATGCATAAATCGAAAACATTTCCCTTTTCTGTATCTTTTCATTTTGATATTGATTTGCTATTTTGACGTGGAACATAATTCATTATTTGATTGTAGGAAACAACTTGGTGGGAAACTGGGGACTTCCTTACAATTTGATCTGGGTGTAAACACAGTTGGAGATCTGCTGCAGTTTTCAGAGGCAAAACTGCAAGACCGTTATGGCATAAATACAGGGTAAGAAATATTGATGAGTGTGAAGAATATAGGTGTTTTAATTTCTTATAGGTGTTTTAATTTCTTAGATTAAAGAATTCTGTTATGTGTGCACAAAGCTTTGGTAAAATATAAAAATTTGGAAATTGTACTTCTATTCTACTGTACTGTCAGTTCTGAATAGATTAAAGCACAATGTTGTCTTCCACATGGAGTTTCTAAACTCTTTTTAGGATACATGTGCCATATATTGTTAGAGTGAAGATGCAGCAAGAAAAAGACAGTAAACTTAATAGGAACAGAAAACTGAGATTTGGAATGGAAAAGCTGGAAATTCTATTAATGAAAGTAACTGTTTACAATATCGATTCTGGAAATCAAGAACCAGGAAACAAATGAGCAAATTAAGTAAGAAGAAAAGAAAAATGGTTGCAAGCAAACCCCAGGAAAGTGGGTGAAGTGGTGTGATGGGATGAAGAAGGTGATGGAGGCGTTTCATCAGTTTGGGTTTTACCTTTAAGAAGGATTTGTTTGAGCTCGTTGAAATTTTGTTGGAATTCTGAAAACTGATGGGTATTATCAAGTTTGAAAGAGGTAAAGGATTCCTCAATGGTTGCTGCAGTCTTCTCTAACTGTTCCAATCGCTGCTCCATTCTTGTTTTGGGCATGAGCAGAACAAAATGTCAAATCCAATGTGGCAATTTTATCTCTATGCTGGGTTGTGGACTTGACCCAAAACACATCAACCCAACTTCCATCCGCACCCAAGCCCGTTGCAGAAAATATTCTGCCAAAAACTGAATGATTCCAAAGATGCTCTTCCCATCCTCGTGCCTTCCATTTATAGACTCCCATAACTACTTTGCTGAGGTGGCAGGGTGCCTTGGTCTCCAACCTCTGTGGCAGTATTTACATCATGGCCCCAGCCTTTTTAATTCTTCTAGAATATACTTTGTAGGGACTTGGGCTTGGATCCACCATTGTAACATATATATTGCTCTCAATTCTTCATTTCTTCTCAAACATTTTGATGTTCTTAACAACTTTTTTTTTTTTCTTTTTTTATTTTTTTTTTTTTTCAATCTATCCTTATGTTTGGTAGTTATAGCTGTGGAACACAATCATTAAGTATGGTTAAGCATGATGAATACAAGTTGGTTTTTTGTGTACATAGTTATCAAACTATTGTCAAAATTGTAATCCTAATTCCTATATTTTCACCTGAACTCCAGTTTGTGGTTGTGGAACATTGCTAGAGGAATCAATGGGGAGGAAGTTCAGGGACGCCTTCTTCCTAAGAGCCATGGTTCTGGAAAGACATTTCCTGGTCCTCGGGCTTTAAAGACAATTGTTTCTGTAAGGATTTTATTTGAGTGCTATAAATTCTTTTTGGTAATGCTGTATGTCGTCTCTTCATTCACTCATCACAGTGAAGTTTATTAATTTGATATTTAGTTTTAAACAAAAGAAATAGTGTGTTCACTAGGTTTTGTAATTTCACAATTGTTCCTATTAATTTTCTTGGAATTTGCTTTTGTTCATAATTTGGTTAAATATAGTTTCCCTTGGCTTGAAGTATTGGCATTGCAAGATTTATTGTATTCTTGTGCCGTTGTTAACAATCTTAATGCCTGCTGATATTTAGTTTTAAACAAAAGAAATAATTTGTTCACTAGGTTTTGTAATTTCACAATTGTTCCTATGAATTTTATTGGACTTTGCTTTAGTTCACAATTTGGTTAAATATAGTTTCCCTTGGCTTGAAGTATTGGCATTGCAAGATTTATTGTATTCTTGTGCCGTTGTTAAAGATTTATTGTATTCTTGTGCCGTTGTTATCAATCTTAATGCCTGCTCCTCAGTCACCACTATGTGGCATGGATACTGCCAATTTCTTAAATATCCACTCTGGGGTTTGAAACTTATTGGGTGCTTCCTATATTATAAAGTTAGATAATTTGCTGTACACAAATATGAAAACAAAAAACAAAATGTCTTTGGAAGCGTGCTTGGTATTTGGGAAAACGTATTATGTTGGGAAATATATGGCACCATCATATTTTTTTTCTGATGAAAATTGTAAAGTCATATAGATTCCTTCAGTCATATCTCACAATATGCCCTACTAATTAAGGAACCTCTTCAAATAATGATTGACATGATGACTCCCTCTTGATCAATTAAATCAATTACCTTTAGTTTCTAAATTTAGTGAACATATAAATTTTGATAAATAAGTTTACAGAATTTTGATGGGCAATCTTATGTAAAGGATGGTTCTGATTTTCCATATTTCACCTAAGCATTTTGTATCATTAACAAATTCCATCTAATTTTGTGGCATATCATTATATTGCTCCATCTCAGGTTCAACATTGGCTTAATCAACTTTGTGAGGAACTTAGTGAACGGCTGTGTTCTGATCTGGACCAAAACAAGCGGATGGCACATACCCTTACTTTGCATGCTAATGCATACAAGGTAGTGGCTTTTTCGCTTTTTCCACCTGACCTGTTTATTAACTTTATATCATATTTGCCCATTGTAGCTTGCTTTCACTTTCTTTTCACCCATCAAATACCATACAAAGTTACCAGTAAAATTTTGTCCTCATCAAGAGGTGTCTTGCAGTCTAGTGACTCAGATTCACATAAAAAGTTCCCTTCAAAATCTTGTCCTTTGAGGTATGGGACTGCCAAGATTCAAGAAGATGCATTCAATCTTTTTCAAGCTGGATTACGTGAATATTTGTTCAATCTTTTTCAAGCTGGATTACGTGAATATTTGGGATCATATGGAACCAAGATTCAAGGAAGTCATCACAAAGGATGGGGAGTAACAGCTCTCTCTATATCAGCAAGTAAAATTGTTGCTGTACCTTGCGTAAGTTAGATAACATCTAGTCTGTCATATATCTGGATCTAATGCTTTTTCTAGACCTTGGTGATTTGTGGATTCTCTTGTCAAGTTATGCTCTTTGGTATTTGCCCACATTATAGAGAAAAAAACAAATCATGCGGATGGGTTTCCTATCCAAGGAAAAGAAGCTTTTGCTTGACATATGATTATTGGTTACTTGTTGCTTTCTACCGTTTCTTTTTGTTCATAAGACAGATATTTCCCTAACTAAATCAAATGTTATCTGTTGCTTAGTGTTCTTAGCATAAAACATGGTCCTAGAGCTCAGAAAGATTTAAAGCTTTCCAAGGGTGCATTAAGTTATTTGAAGTTTCAAAATGACAAGAAAATTTTTGGATACAAGTATTGAAAATTTAATTCATTTGAGTGAAATGATTGGCTTGATCTTGATCAAATGTTTCTTTCTTGTAGGGAACATGTTCAATCAAGAAATATTTTCAAGGCCAATACCCATCCCACTCGTCTTCAAAACAAATGCAAAATACTTCCATTCAAGAAGCTACACCAGTATCATCCTCAAGTGATTCTCATTTTATGCATTGGCATTTGTGAATTTTAGTTTTTAGTTCTCTCTCTCCTTTTTTTTATTTATTTTTTTATTTTCTGATATTCCTGTCACAATTTAATGAAGATTTCATTTCAGGTACTGAAAACTATTTAGAACCAGAATCAACTGAGCCGAAAATTGATGTCCCCTATTTGGGGCAACAAGAAAAGGAAAACATCGTATTGACAGATAAGCTTTCAATGAAAGCAGCTTCATTAGTTTTTAACTGAACAAAAATATCTTTGATGATTGTGCTTTTAGATAGGAATATAAATCATTTTGCTTAAGACGAATGCTAGTCTCATGAACGTTATAGATACTGGTTGAATATAAAACATGTTGGGGAATGTCATATGATTTCCAGAAAATCAGCTGTAACTTGTAAAAATCATAAAAACATGCTTGCATAGACTTGGGCACTTTCTTGTGCAGTGCATTTCAATTAACAATCAAAATATGGAGCAAGTAAACTGCTCATCATGTGATTTTGTTGGTGTAGAAGTTTGAACCTTTGATGTGTTTTAATATATTTCATGTTTTGTGGTCCAAGTGAAATAAATTTTCACATTTGGTAGAATAATTTCAATTCTTAAACTTTTTTCACTTTTTCATTTTACTCTTTATATTTACATATGATAGAAATGTTTCATCTTTATGATTTAATTCAATTGGTTCTTTGAATAGGAGAAAAAAAAAAAAAAAATCTATTTTGCATATCTAAATGCTCTTCTACTAGGAAACTTTCATATCAGTTGCTGCATATGTTGGTTTTTGTTCAGATCTTGTAAGATCTCACTGTTTGAAGAGAGATCTCAAATTGATTTACCATGTTTGGAGTGAATTTCATGCTTATGTATATATGAAAGCCAGTAATAAGTCTTTCACTAATTCCAACTTCCTAGAGTGATATCCTTTGTTTATCTCATTTAATTTGAAAATGAGAACTGGTTTGAAAACAAACTAATGCAAGATAAAAGAAGAAACTTTATTCACTTTTTTCCTTCATATTCTGAATCTTAATAAATGTCTAAAATATGTGGTTCTGACATTTACAGGATTTATTTTGCTCCTCACTCAAACAAACAAAAGATGGTTTTGCCACAGAAACTTCACAACTGTTGCCCCCAGGTGTAATCTCATTGTAATGGGAATAGCTTATGTTTCCTCCAGTGACCTTTAAATTTGTGTTCCACATTGTAATCAAGGTTAAGTGTTCATTCAGGTCTGACCTTCTACCAAGGATCTCTATTTCCTTCCTCACTCCACAACAAACCAACCAAGGCATGCTTTTTTTGCCGACACGGAAATTGCCACAGAAACTTCACAACTGTTGCCCCCAGGTGTAATCTCATTGTAATGGGAATAGCTTATGTTTCCTCCAGTGACCTTTAAATTTGTGTTCCACATTGTAATCAAGGTTAAGTGTTCATTCAGGGAGTGAAAGTTGCGCAGGAGTTAACCAAAGTGACTCACAGGGATGTTTCTCTGGGGATGACCCAAGGGTTATATTGCCTAGCTTAGAACAAACAGAACAGAAAGCAAATGCTTTGAAAGTCAAGGTAAATTTTTACACTTGCTCACACAGCTGATTTTTGCCTTCTAACTTAATTTCTCGCTTTAATTGGCTGGTAAAATCATTAGGCATAACTGTAATACTTCCAAAACTTTTCCTTTATCAGGTTTGCTATCATATGCACTATTAGAGTTACTTTTACCTACATGTCTATTTATTTTGTGATTTCTATGTAAGTGTGCAGTGTTTGTTAAGTTTGCAAATTTATTTTTGTGCTTCTGTAAAGTTTGCATTAATTTAGTTCTACTGCTCGGATAATTTAGTTCCATACCATGTGTATATTTGTGATTTCTATGTAAGTGTGCAGTGTTTGTTAAGTTTGCAAATTTATTTTTGTGCTTCTGTAAAGTTTGCATTAATTTAGTTCTACTGCTCGGATAATTTAGTTCCATACCATGTGTATATACATTCTTCCTAATATGTTTTTTATCTCTTCGGTTTCTTTTATTATTTTATAACAGGGGACAATCTTCCAGTTTTTCAAGAGTGGTAATCCCACTTGCTCTTCACCAAAATTGGAAAATGTTGACATGGTTAAAGGTACTAAAGTTTCTTCATCCGCAGTTATCTTGAAATCCCACTTCTACTTTCTACTTTTATCTTAATTCTTCTTCTTCCCCAGAGTTGAATTTAGATTCAAAACAAAACCAAGTGGAGCTGCTAAAGGAGATTCATGTTTTTTAAAATTTTGGTCATTTTGTAACTGAATTTTTATCCATTATGTTATTCACTAATTGCTTAGAAATGGTGGACAAAACATGAGAAACGAGAGTTCTCATGTTTTGATCAGCTATCAGCTATCAACTTAATATTTCACATATTTTATTATTTCTATTTTTAACTTGTGTTTTACTGAATTCTTGTTTATTTTATTTGAGTTATTTTGCAAATGGCTTCGAAAATTCACAGCGTAGTGGCTGATTCAGAATGGTTCGATATTATCCAGAATGATTCTGTGACACCATTTCTGTTTCCATTATTGTTTATGATTCTAATTCCTTTCTTTAAAAACCTGGTCTTCTTGCAGATTGCAGGACAAATGGTGACAGACACAGTTCAAGTCAGAATTTACAGAGGGAAGCATGGAATTACAGGATTGATGAGATTGATCCATCCGTGATTGATGAGTTACCACCAGAAATCCAAAACGAAATTCGGGTTTGGCTTCGCCCTCATAAGCGGCCTACTGTAGTTAAACGTGGTTCGACCATAGCCCATTATTTTTCAAGAACTAAAGCAACATAGGCAATTTTTTTTTTTGGACTTTAGGCAATTTTTAGTTATATCAGCCTGGCAAGCTGTATATAGAGTGTTATATATCCTAGTCGAGACTTATGAAGCATATGTGCTTTATGAAAACTGGTACATTCAAGTCTAATAGAAAAATAATGTATATAATAAATACTGAATGTATAATATGTATTTACCTCTAACATTTAATTATTTAAATCCTAAATTGAATAAATTAAAAACATATATATTTACCTCGAACATTTATTATTTTTAAATTTCCTGAAGATGTGAGAGTTAAGATGAAAAACGTAGAGGTATAGTAAAGTGAGAGAAGAATATTTAATTTTCGTGATCCGTATAGCCTTATATGATAACATTAAAAACTAATTACAAAAAAATAATATATATTACTTATCAAGTTAACCGTTAATTATCTATTAGCATAATAATTTTAAATAAAAATTTGAATTAGCGTATATAGTTAAACGTTAATGTATCTATAAAATTGAATTGGTATATAGTTAACGTTAATTATCTATTAAATATAATATTTAAAATAAAATTTAATTAGTCATTAATAAGGTTATAGTTAACGTTAACTATCTATTAAGCATAATATTTAAAATAAAATTTAATTAGTCTTTAATAAAGTTATTTTAGAACATTTTAAATTTCATTAAAGGCATTATCGTAACGTTATTTATTTATCAAGTATAATATTTAAAGTAAAATTTAATTAGTCATTAATAAAATTATTTTAGAATATTTAAAATTTTACAAAAACATTATAAGTAATTTTATTATTTTTTTTCATTTCATTTTCCTGAGATTTTTGTTAAAACTGAAACTGACATTTGTTAAACTGCGCCGTGTTAATAATGGGTTTAGAGAATATTAGATTGTCTTGGAGTTATTACAAGTCTCGGTGGCCTGGGCCCTAGTGCCGGTCAGCGCATGAATTTGGGTCGTGACACATACGTTACCTTTAAATAAACTTTTCTCTCTTTCTGCTTATCGTTTCCTGCTCTCAGTGGAGTGAAAGAGGAGAAGAAGTAAAAGCGAAGAAAATGCCGGTGGCAAGACCGGAATCATCCGATTCAAGAATCATCGCTCACATTGACATGGATTGTTTCTATGTTCAAGGTCTGTTGTACTCTTTTCCTCTCTGATTTTATCAATAGCTTCCTTATTATAGCCTAATTGTTTCGCAATTTTTCGAATGTAGTCGAGCAGCGAAAGCAGCCACAATTAAGGGGTTTGCCTACTGCTGTTGTGCAGTACAATGAGTGGAAAGGTGGAGCCTTGATCGCTGTTAGTTACGAAGCTCGAAAACTTGGAGTGAAACGGTATGTAGAAAGCTTCAGCTGATTCTTTCGGTTTTTTTTTTTTGATAACAATTTTTGTACAATTTAATTGTAGTTTTATGCGAGGTGATGAAGCAAAAGAAGTTTGCCCTCAGATTCAACTTGTACAGGTCCCTGTAGCTCGTGGTAAAGCTGATTTAAATGCTTACCGCAATGCAGGTTCTGAGGTATGTGGATTTTGCTATTTTGACTGTGTAAACATTGTAATTTGTGATTTTATATTGAAAATTCATCACTTTCATTGTTTTGATAATTACATTTGTAGGTGGTTTCTATTCTTGCAAGGAAGGGTCGATGTGAGAGAGCTTCTATTGATGAAGTTTCATTGGGTTTTGATAATTACCAGTTTGTAGGCTGAGTTGAAAATTCATCACTTTCATTGTTTTGATAATTACATTTGTAGGTGGTTTCTATTCTTGCAAGGAAGGGTCGATGTGAGAGAGCTTCTATTGATGAAGTTTATCTTGACCTTACTGATTCTGCAGAAGCGATGCTGAAAGAACACCCTCCTGAGAGCTTGGAAATGATTCATGATGAAGCTCTCAAATCACATGTTTTAGGACTTAAGAATGAGGTGTGGAACTATTTTTATGTCATTTCTTGTAAAAGAAGAATTGTTGGGAATTTGAAACTGCGAAAGTATACTGGTTTCTTTCCTTAAATGATCTTCTTTGCAAAGTTTTATTATCTGATTCTGTAATTCCTTTGAAGACAAAAAACATTACACAACCCAGTTTTCAGCTTATTTTATATTACTTTCCTTAGCTTCTCTATATAGCAAACAAAGTAAAGAAGAGAAAGCTTTAGAGGTCTTAACTTACTGACTTTTTGTTTTGCTTTCTTCTTACAAATTCAAATGTAAAGTTATAATTTAGTGAATCGCAGGAACAGAATCCTTTTGTTAGAAAATGATATCTAACGGTTTTTATCATCCTGGAGTTCTATTTTTTTCCTCTCTCACATAATATTGTTACACTTGATTTTGCGCTGAATTCAGAATGGAATTGATGCCAAAGAAAATGTGAGGGAGTGGCTATGTCGGCATGATGCTGATCATCGTGACAAGTTATTAGCATGTGGAGCCCTCATAGTTGCAGAACTTAGAATGCAAGTTTTGAAGGAGACTGAATTTACATGTTCTGCTGGCATCGCTCATAATAAGGTAGGAAAGTTTGGTTTCTTCTCAAATAAGTTCGTGACAAGTTATTAGCATGTGGAGCCCTCATAGTTGCAGAACTTAGAATGCAAGTTTTGAAGGAGACTGAATTTACATGTTCTGCTGGCATCGCTCATAATAAGGTAGGAAAGTTTGGTTTCTTCTCAAATAAGTATGATCTTCTATAAGCTCAGTTCTTATTTATTTATTTATTTACTAAATAACATTGTGCAAATGCTTGCATATGGATTTCTAATAGATGCTGGCCAAACTTGTAAGTGGTATGAATAAACCCGCTCAACAAACTGTTGTGCCCTTCTCATCTGTGAAAGAATTGCTCGATTCTTTACCAATCAAGAAAATGTAAGTTTGTTTACTCACAAATGCGGTATTGAATAGCTAAGAATGTTAAGTTTGGATACTGGATGTGGCTAGAATCATTGATGCATAAATCAAAAACATTTCCCTTTTCTGTGTCTTTTCCTTTTGATGTTGATTCGATATTTTGACGTGGAACATAATTCATTATTTGATTGTAGGAAACAACTCGGTGGGAAACTGGGGACTTCCTTACAATTTGATCTGGGTGTAAACACAGTTGGAGATCTGCTGCAGTTTTCAGAGGCCAAACTGCAAGACCGTTATGGCATAAATACAGGGTAAGAAATATTGATGAGTGTGAAGAATATAGGTGTTTTAATTTCTTGGATTAAAGAATTCTGTTATGTGTGCACAAAGCTTTGGTAAAATGTAAAAATTTGGAAATTGTACTTCTATTCTACTGTACTGTCAGTTCTGAATAGATTAAAGCACAATGTTGTCTTCCACATGGAGTTTCTAAACTCTTTTTAGGATACATATGCCATATATTGTTAGAGTGAAGATGCAGCAAGAAAAAGACAGTAAATTTAATAGGAACAGAAAACTGAGATTTGGGATGGAAAAGCTGGAAATTCTATTAATGAAAGTAACTGTTTACAATATCGATTCTGGAAATCAAGAACCAGGAAACAAATGAGCAAATTAAGAAAGAAGAAAAGAAAAATGGTTGCAAGCAACCCCCAGGAAAGTGGGTGAAGTGGTGTGATAGGATGAAGAAGGTGATGGAGGCGTTTCATCAGTTTGGGTTTTACCTTTAAGAAGGATTTGTTTGAGTTCGTTGAAATTTTGTTGGAATTCTGAAAAATGACGGGTATTATCAAGTTTGAAAGAGGTAAAGGATGCCTCATTGGTTGCTGCATTCTTCTCTAACTGTTCCAATTGCTGCTCCATTCTTGTTTTGGGCATGAGCATAACAAAATGTCGAATCCAATCTGGTGATTTTATCTCTACGCTGCGTTTTGGACTTGGCCCAAAACACATCAACCCAACTTCCATCCGCACCCAAGCCCGTTGCAGAAAATATTCTGCCAAAAACTGAATGATTCAAAAGATGCTGTTCCCATCCTCGTGCCTTCCATTTATAGCCTCCCATAACTACTTTGCTGAGGTGGCAGGGTGCCTTGGTCTCCAATCCCTGTGGCAGTATTTACATCATTGGCCCCAGCCTTTTTAATTCTTCTAGAATATACTTTGTAGGGCCTTGGGCTTGGATCCACCATTGTAACATATACATCGCTCTCAATTCTTCATTTCTTCTCAAACATTTTGATGTTCTTAACAACTTTTTTTTTTTTTCAAATTATTTATATTGAGTCTATACTGTGGAACAAATCTTAAGCATGATGAATACAAGTTGGTTTTTCGTGTACATAGTTATCAAAATATTGTCAAAATTGTATTCCTAATTCCTATATTTTCACCTGAACTCCAGTTTGTGGCTGTGGAACATTGCTAGAGGAATCAATGGGGAAGAAGTTCAGGGACGCCTTCTTCCTAAGAGCCATGGTTCTGGAAAGTCATTTCCTGGTCCTCGGGCTTTAAAGACAATTGTTTCTGTAAGGATTTTATTTGAGTGCTATAAATTCTTTTTGGCAATGCTGTATGTCGTCTCTTCATTCACTCATCATATGTGAAGTTTATTAATTTGATATTTAGTTTTAAACAGAAGAAATAGTTGTGTTCACTAGGTTTTGTAATTTCACAATTGTTCCTATGAATTTTGTTGGAGTTTGCTTTAGTTCACAGTTTGGTTAAATATAGTTTCCCTTGGTTTGAAGTATTGGCATTGCAAGATTTATTGTATTCTTGTGCCGTTGTTATGAATCTTAATTCCTGCTGATATTCAAGTTTTAAACAAAAGAAATAATGTGTTCACTAGGTTTTGTAATTTCACAATTGTTCTTATGAATTTTATTGGAATTTGCTTTAGTTCACAATTTGGTTAAATATAGTTTCCCTTGGCTTGAAGTATTGGCATTGCAAGATTTATTGTATTCTTGTGCCGTTGTTATCAATCTTAATGCCTGCTCCATTATTGTAATTCTAGTAGCCGTTGTTATCAATCTTAATGCCTGCTCCCAGGTCACCAGCTATGTGGCATGGATTATGACCATTAATCATACATATCCACTCTGGGTTATGAAACTTATTGGTGTGCTTCCATTACTATTATAAAGTTAGAATAATTTGCTACACGGAAATATGGAAAGTAAAAAACAAAATGTCTTTGAGCGTCGCTCGCGTAGTTGAAAGTGTATTTATATTTGGGAAATATAATGGCACTATCATTTATTTTTTTCTTTGATGAAAATTGG